GAAAGATTAGGTATGTTTAATCTCATATTAGCAATCTCAGTACTTGCATAAAGGAGACGTTTCTCCTGCCAACCACTTACTTTCTGCTTAAGTGTTGCCATAACATCTTCCAAGTCACGTGATGGGGCAGACTGTTTCAAATACCTATCAAATTTTTTATGACTCATCAATACGTTCAGCATCTTCCGTCCATAACACCTAACACAGGAAAGAGAGAAATGAATACAGACTACTACTGTCTTTTCTCCCTTGTGAATAAACAAAGGAAAAGTGTTAATAGAATAAGCTGATATTTTAAACTCATCATGTGCAATACCTTCATGAGAAGGTATTACCTCTTCAGCAAAGAGGGATATTTACCTCCACTTGTCATCACTGCACAGTGCTGCCAGCTGAACACAAGAGGTAAGAGGAGAACACAGGGAAACAGGAAAATACAATTTCACTCTGAAATTGTGGGTATGCTTCTGTGGGATCAAAGGATCCCATGGGATGAGCGAAGCACATCTCCTGCTTTGCTGTCATGGCTTATTTGCAGTGTCTTGCTGCCATTGCACAACAATTTACCTTTCTTTAACCGGTGGAGAAGCTAGGACAAATCACCTCATGCTTACTATTTATTATTCTATACTACATGTATGCACACGGGCAGCTAGTTGCTCATGTGTTCTTGGCATCTATTAATGGGAGTTTAAATTAATAATCAAAATAAGGGTTTTTTTGGTTTGGTTTGGTTTTGCTACTATGAAACTACAGCTATCTTCAAGAGGAAATCTGGAGATCGTTCAGCCACAGACAACATTATACAAAGATTGGGAATAAAAATTTGTTCATTCCCAGGAGCAAAATGATTCAGTGGAGGAAGAATTAGATAAAGAAAGATTAGGTATGTTTAATCTCATATTAGCAATCTCAGTACTTGCATAAGTAACTTGCAGTACTTTGGCATACTAGCAAAAATTTGACTATCATAGGCAACTAAATCTGCAGAAGAGGTTTAGAAAGACTGAATACATTGGTTAAAGACAGCTGGAATTTTTCTAGGACAGTCTTAACCTTATCAGAAATAAATGTTTGGGATCCTTCAGTGATGAACAGTGGTCAACGCTTCAGCTTTGCATTGTGCACATAAGACCAAAAAATACTGTTTGACTGACTAATCTGAGTTCAGTTCATCTGAATAAGGAATCATTCAAGTCACAGGAATTTGGCAATGGTCCTTCTTGCTGGACAGCCTCATGTTACCCAGTACAGTCATTTCCCCAGGCAACATTATCCACACTGTGAAGTTAACTGTCTTAATATTTACTTTACCTTCCACTCTTTTGTGGTTTTATCATTTATAGCCAGACATCAAACATTTTTCATATTTTAGGAGGTGAATGAAGATCGTCACCTTGTGTCCTGATGACAGTCCTGAGCAAGCTTCACCACCATGCACACCAGCAGCTCGGTACTGTCACGCGTGCCCGACAGGAGCTTCTTGGCTCCTATTTGCTCCATCACGGTCAGCAGGTGTTCGGCTGCACACTTCCGCACCAGGGCGTTGCGGTGCCTGGAAACAAGAGAACAAACACTGGGGCAGAGGGAAAAGGAGGGCCAGAAGCACATGCCTCGGTCATAGCATGCTCCCTGTCATTGCTGGGGGAAGGAGGCATGTGTTCTCGCTGCAATTTTAGCCACCTGTAGAACATTTGCTCCATCACAGTCAGCAGGTGTTCGGCTGCACACTTCCGCACCAGGGCGTTGCGGTGCCTGGAAACAAGAGAACAAACACTGGGGCAGAGGGAAAAGGAGGGCCAGAAGCACATGCCTCGGTCATAGCATGCTCCCTGTCATTGCTGGGGGAAGGAGGCATGTGTTCTCGCTGCAATTTTAGCCACCTGTAGAAGATTCTATCCTCAGATAAACACAAATTTGGCATTGTACAGAGGGACTACCTGCAAGGAATAGGGAGGAATTCAATCTCCCTGGACTATCTGATACTCAATTTCTTTCCCGAAATTAACTCTGAGAAAGAGGGAAATGAAAGACAATTCATGCTGACTCATCAGAGGGCTCCCACTACACAGACAGAGCTGCAGCAGGATTGAAGCTTATTCCCCCCATTTATCTCCAAATCTGCAGACCCTTGAAAAAAAACAAATGAGGGGAAAAACCCTGTGGGGCATGAAGCTGCAGAATATCCAGCAATGCAGCCAGTTTGTTCTTTGAGGCTTGGCAAGAGGTACATTTGAATGTTTTACCCTTTTCAAAAGCTGAGGAAAGGGTAGCAGTTGTTTGAGCCAGGTTGTCCTTTCTAAAGGACTTTGAAACTATCAGGCACAGCACTAATATTTTAAGGCAGCATTTGCTTCAGCTATCCCATGGGAGTCGGCCTGTGAAGGCGCCTGTGAAGTGACTCACCATCTCAAGGCTAACATGCAGCATCAATTTGAATAGAAAGTGGAGCTCTAAGGACACAACAGTCAGACTCCTCCCGGCAGGAGCTGCACCTGCTGTGCAGGCTGTGCGGCACCCAGCGGGTTCTCCCCCACATGCTCCGTGTCCCAGCAATTAGCCTCCTTATTTCCCAAGTTAATGGCATAATGATGATGCATGGTTTTTTGCAGCGCCTCTGTGGTTAGCATGAAATATCACAGGGCACTCACTGCTGGAATTGGCATTGTCCCTCTTCCCGCAAAGCCACAAGGCTGTATCACCACCCTTTGCAGGGACTTTCGCTTCCCCATCATTCACCACATCTACGTTCTAGAGAGCGTTGACAGGTTGTGAGAACAAATAGGCTATAGTAGGGCAGAAGTAGATGACAAGAGGAAGGGAGCAAGGTTGATCCGAGAATCTAAACACCGAGTTCACAGAAGATGCAGGAGAAAGGACCCTTCCCTCCCATCATTCCCCTTCTGCCTCCTGTCCCTTCCCCCTACCCACACAATTTAAGGTGAAGGATATCACTAAGAGAAGAATGACATACTGGACTCCACTAGCCATGAGAGCAGTCATTGCTCGTGCAGGAGTCACGCTCCCCACCATGATCCCCAGGGACTGACTGGCTGCTTTCTGAATGAACTCGCTGGAGTCCCCCATCCTCTGGAGCAAGACCCGAGCAATCTCATCCACCTCGTGGTCCATGTGCTTCTTCATGGTCCTGAAGAGCTCTTCAAGAGTGCTGATTGCAAAGCGAGACACCTTCGAGCGGAGGTTGTTCACCTGGGGAAGTCATGAGGGGAAACGTAAGAATCACCTTGTAAAGAAAATCAGTTCCCCTAGACAAAAGTCCCAGGAAACAACAAGACTTCTCGCTGTGTCCAGGTGGAACATAAGAGCACAGCAAGAGCAGAAGACCCACAGAAACACACTTACTCTGATACCAACTTCTTCTCTGGCCTCAGGCCCACTTATACAATACAGTTTTAATGAGACTGCAGGCCTAAAAAATATTGTTTCACCTAGAACAAAGTGTGCTACTTAGCCCATAATGTACACTGCTTTGATTTTAGGCCCTTTTACTGATTGAAAACAAACAAACAAACAAAGTAAAGCAAGGGCTGTTTTTAAACTATAAAGGCACAATTCATAAAGACAAGATAGAGGGAAAGTAGTACTTTCCTCCTGTCCAAAAATGCAGTACTGGCAGTTTGAGCACTCAACCAGGAAACAGAAAATACGGGCTCAAGTCTACAGGCTAATTCGCAGCAGGGACTTGAGTCCATCTGCGGCTCCATCTACTCAGGAGAACCCTAGCTGTTGGACTCAAGGCACTCAAGGATCTTGGAGATCACATGCAATTACAGCTGCGATCAGTGGGGTTTTACAGCATTCGGTGCTGCTCTGGAGTGATCCCTGCTTCCAAAAGGCTCTCCCACAGGGGTAAGGAAGAAGCATCTCAGAGTCATGTGCTTCATTTGAAAGATACTTTGAAGGACAGACCAGTGGTTCTTTCTGCCAGACTTAGTTGTGCCTGTTAATAAAAATGAACAACATATGTGCTAGAAATGCTTGCAAAAGCAAAATCTGGGACTGGAGTGAAATGAAAGCTGAAAGATGTCTCTGTACGTAAGTGTGTAGAACAGAGAGGAGGAAATTTCGTCAGAAATATAAAAGTGATATAAAAATCAGATGAGCTAAGCTGAAAGGGCTTCTTCTCCTAACCTTGATCTCAGAGTGGGACAATCTGAGTCCTGCATATCTAAACAAAAAGGTTTGAAGAGTCCAACAACACAAGGGGCATTCAAACCTCCAACATCATTAAATATTGGATAGAAGGACTGATTTTCATGGAAACAAGCTAAGTCTTACTGTCTTCTGCAAGCAAAGGAAAATTTAATATATTTGGCAATCATCTAGTAAGAGTACAAGGCAGCTCGTTCAGGCCACAGACGAGTGACAAGTTGGAAATATAGGCACAGATGTTATTAAGGAGCTTAGGTTGAGACCTCTCTGTTAACTGAGAGATGAGATAATGGAGTTGAGCCCGACTGCCCTGCAAACCCCAGAGACAGGCCGCTCCAAGCACCCAGTAGCTACAGTGCAAAATTCCACTGATGCACGGAGGCAACAGATCAATGGAAAGGGCAAATTACCAAAAAGCACGCAGAAAGGAAGAAGGAGAAGACATCATCAGGGAACACTGGAAAATAAATACCTGCAGTCAATCCCCCACGATGCTCAGGAGGAGGAAGTGGGAAGAAGCTGGGAGGCAAAAGCTGCAGTGTTTAATTACAGCTTGGGCAGAGATTTGGGCTGTGGCAAATCACCTGATTAGTGTCTTGGTTTCTGCATTTGTATATTGCATTATAATGACACCTAGCTCAAAGAGGAGAGAGTCAGATGCCCTACATACCAGTAATATAGCTGTATGTACAGACAGTTCATATAGATAGGTGACAGAGCTATTAGAAAAATGAGGTCTAAAAATAGTAATGAAGGCAGACACTGAGCACACATGTAAATGAACAAGCACATATCTACTCTATGCGCCATGTACGAGGGGACACAATTAAACACAATTTTCTTACCTCGCGCCATGTACAAGGTATGTGGGACACAATTAAACACAATTTTCTTACCTCTTTGGTAACTGCCAAGGCAACATCATGAAGTCTAGAAAGAAGAATTTCTGAGTGGCAGATAGCCAGGCGTCTGACGCTGAAGAGTCCCTTTGCCTTCTGCTGCCTGAAAGGCAATTACCAAAAAGATTGATTTTTCTCACCACCCAAGAACTAGGCAGCACCCTCTAAAATTACCAGGGTGTGGGCTCAGACAAAAAAAGGGAAGTGCTTCTCATACAACACTTAATTAAATCATGGAACTCATTGCCACAGGATGCTGCGGCAGTCAAAAGCGTACATAAGTCCAAAAGGCAAATAGATGGCTTCAGAGTGGATGGGTTAATTTGTGGCCATTAAACAGCCTTTCTGAAATCCCTGGCACACAAAGTCCCTATGTCGCTGCTTCCTAGAAGCTGGGAGGCTGTGCCGTGTTTCTGTTTCTTGCACCCTCCCTGTACCCTGTCCCTGAGATACAGTCCCATCTGGCTGTTACTGGGGTATTTTCCCTCTTCACCATCCCCAAAGGGAAGTTCAGGAGTGAGAGTCTGCACTGCCACTTCATAGCTGAGTTTGCACTCTGCAATCTAGTTATTCCCCTCCTCCCCCTCCCCCCCCCCAAAAAAAAAAAAAAAAAAAAAAACAAAAGATTCCACACCTGGGCAAGAACAGCCAAAATGCTGGATCTTCCAGAAAACCCCTACTTGAAATAACACCCACAACAGCAACATATTATTTAAAAGTAGTAAAGCCCCGCCTCTTTCAGCACTTTCTTTATGAAGGACCTGAGCTACATGAAGGCACTTGATGCAGTCATTGGTTCACCAGGGCTGCAGGGCAGGACTGGGGACCCGTCCCCACTGGGGTCTCAGAGTGTAACCTGGACCCCCCACACCTGCAGCAGCTCTCTGCACCTCACAGGGCACCAAACAGGAACAGGGAAGAGAAAGGGGAGAGGGGCAAAACAAAGCAGTCACACAAGGAGATGCATCATGGAAGATTTTTCATGGTTATCCCAGTGTGAACAGAGCCCTAGTGAGTGTATGCTGACCCAGAAATCAAAAAGACGACCAATATTACCTGAAATTTGTGGAGTCTCCTCCTGTCTGTGTCTAATTTCAGGACACACTGTGATTATCAACAAAACATCTTTGGCCCATATTAAGCAGTGAGGAGGAAAAAATTTCATTCTGAAAGTGCAAGATTCTTAAAGGATTTTTTTTTCTTTTTCCTTGCCTTCTGCCATGAGCCCTTCAGGAGAAATGACAGGCTAAGCAACTCTGCACCACGTCTCAGTCCATTCCTCAGAAATAGGAACTCCCTGTAGGCACGCCTGGGACTCACATGCAGGAGGTCACAGGGAGGCCCTGTCTCCTGCTGCTGCCAGCAGCAGGACCAGAGATAAATCCTTACTCAGTCCCACCTGGGCCAGTGACCTGAGGCCCCAAAACTATAAACTCAAGACCACTTCCATCCTGCTTCTGGCTTCAGCCAGCAAATCATCTTGTTCCACAACTTTCTCTCTTCCATGGAAATTTCATTTGCAGCTACATGGAGCAGAAGGCAAAGCTAGGAAACAGCATTGACCTGCTGCAGCTGTAGCACCGCTACGGACCAAGGCAAATAAAAGCCTGCTCTCACATCTTCATACTATGACTGCTTTGGAGTGGTTTTAGTAGTTCCCTTGGACATCTGGGCTGTCTGGGCTCAGAGGCACTAGAAAAAAAATGTTTCTAACTTACCTTTACACTGAGAGGGAAAAAGAGTGAACAGGGGGCTTTCTTACCAGTCATCACTGCTGAGCCATGTGAGCACGTTGAGCAGCGCCTGCTGTGGCTGAGGGAAGGGTCTGGCTTCCTGGGTGTCCCCACACTCTAAGTCCATAGCAATGTATGGCAGGCAGTTCACTGTAAGGAGAGGGCCATGTGAGCACGTTGAGCAGCACCTGCTGTGGCTGAGGGAAGGGTCTGGCTTCCCAGGTGTCCACACGCTCGAAGTCCATAGCAATGGCTGGCAGTGAGTTCACTGTAAGGAGAGGGTCAGACACTAGCATCGGATGCCTCGGGGCAAGGCACCCTGCCACCGAGAAGAGTGCAACCCAGTCTCCCAGCCAAGATTACATATGGGTGCAAACTGGCATTGGTTCAGAGACTTCCCTGCTGTCTGGCTCATTGCTTTCCCCAGCACCCAACCATCTCCCAGTCACCCCAGCTGGGCACCAGCTCCTCGTGTAAACCTGAAAATTGCACACACAGAGACAGGCCCCAAGACCGTATAGGTACCACAGCCAGCTTGCAGATTCATAGTGCCACAGAGCTCACGCTCACTGGGAGCCAGTGCCGCCCAGCAGGACTTGTTACCCCAGGATTAAGCTCCTGAGATGTGCACATACCTCCCTGTATCACTTCCCTGTTACCTGGAGCACTGGGGACAGAGGCACCCTGTAACTTTCCGAGGAAACACTTCCAGCTGCCCCCAGTGAGCACCAAGCCTGAACAACTGAGTCCTGCTGGGCTCAGGCAAATCCCCAAGGAGCAACCACCAGGGAACAGTGATACCTGACTCTCTAAATCTGACAGTGCCTCTGTTTCCATTTACTTCAAATATTCTAGACAGCAGGCAGCTGAGTGCACATACATTTTAGCATACTATTGGGAAAGTAGTAGTTTATGGATTTTGCTATTTTCCAAGCATTATGAATATTTACTATTTCAGAGGTACCCACTGGCTGTATTTCGAAGACGCTGAAGTGAAATTTATTTGACATCAAATGTACTTGTTTGCAAACTGTGCAATGCCTAAGCTTTCTCTTGTGGAAAAATGCAATTTCTAGTCTAGATATTTGTGACAAAAAAGCCTTCCAAATGTGAACTGAGAATAAAAATATGTAAATATAGATACAAATTCTTGGAAAACACACTCTCTTGATGATAAATATACAAGGTATAAGAAAATTCAGATGATAAATGCATTTGTTGTGAAACCTATTTGTCATCAAAAGCACCATAGGTCAAAAATTTCATGTCTTGCACTCAAAAGCTCATTTTCTAAAGTGTAGATGAAAACATCTGAGCTGTCTAAAGTATTGAGTATAAATATTGCAGAGAATCTAGATGAACTGTTATGGACTCTGTAGGGTTTTTATACTACCTTGCACGTTCTACAAAGTATGGAGGATGGAAGAACTATAAAATCAAAAATATGCAGATGGGGACTAATTTGGATGTCACCGATATCACTGTCACTGGCACCAGCGATGTCACTGCACGAGTATGTACATATACACCTCTATATTCGATATGAACGGAGAGTCACGTCAGGCTAGTTCTGGTCAATTTTGAAAATTGGAGTAGCATCACTAGAAAAGAGCATTCAAAGTATCATTCCTACCTCCCTTTTTCTTAACTCGTGCTGTTCAGGATCATAGCACAAGGTAGGCTACCCACAAAGGAGAGACGAGAATCACTATGGACTCACTCTCTGCTGTATATTTATTGCAGGTAGCTAACAGCCTGGGACCACCAGTCAGCCTCTCCTGCATGTCATCTGCTACACACAGCCACAGTATTTGGCTGGGGTGACAGAAGAGGTACTGCTTGTTCCCAGTTTGCATTGCAGGTGGTGGGATGAGAGAGGCTAGAAGCTGTTAAGCACTTCTAGGTGCAATAGCATGATTGTACCAAGTCACTAATTTCCATGCAGAGACAACCCTTGCTGCGATAGTAGAAAAGCTGGCTGGAGAGCCAGACAGCAGCACAGGCAGAGGGCCAAGACGGTGAGTAGCTAATTGATCATGGTGGTACACATATGTGCACAGTGAGCACACCCTGCCAGACTGCACCAGGGCTCAGCCCTGCAGTTACAGCTGCCTCCTGGCACCAGTGTTATATCTTGGCCTATCGGTACGTGCAAAAGCTAGAGCTTAAGGCTTTACCACTACTTTATTCAGCTCAGCTTTCCAATGGATCTGTAAGCACCAACTGCTCCAGTATCACCAGGCTGGAGTGGATCCAAAGCAGATTTGCTCTCAATCCTCAGGACAGGCTTTGGACCCAAGATCCTACCTGTGGTTGGGGAATGAGGCACTCTGTGAGTGGGCTCACCTGAGGACTTGCGCGGGAAGCTGCCACCCTGGCTGACGACGGGGATGCTGGGCAGTGAGGGCCTGTTGACCTGCTTCCTCAAGGCAGTACCAGCTCTCGCTCTGCATGCATTGCTCATACTGGGGGGAATGGAAACTGCGCCATTGATAGGCGGTAGGCCAAAGCCTGCAGAGACCAAAAAGGACCTTGTAAGTGGAGAGTGCTGGACAGGGTGGCTATGGGCTTGGAAAGGGCTAGAAATCTTGCTGGAGCTGGGTAACATCCCTTTGTTGTCCCAGGCAATTCCAAGCATAACAGTTGCACACTAACATGGGACAGTGATCACAGAATCATAGAATAGTTTGGGCTGGAAGGAACCTTTAAAGGTCATCTAGTCCAACCCCCCTGCAATGAGCAGGGACATCTTCAACTAGACCAGGTTGCTCAGAGCCCCATCCAACCTGACCTTGAATGTTTCCAGGGATGGGGCACACCTAACTTCTCTGGTCAACCTGTTCCAGTGTTTCACCACCCTCAACGTCAAAAATTTCTTCCTTATATCTAGCCTAAATCTACCCTCTTTTAGTTTAAAACTGAATGCAGTGATGCTTTCCCTAAGAAATGAGGAAAACTCAGTACTGCTTTTCTTTTGCTTTCCTGTTTCAGAGGCTGGATAGGGAAGTTACATTTCTGGGGCTCCCACCTCAGCACTCCTCACCAGCACTTCACAAAATAATAGCAAGAAAAAGAGCAGATAACCTTGTCCGATGCCCTTGGGCTGAGTGCTGACTCTTAAGTTCCCTGCCGCTGCACTCATGGTAGCGTGTGCAAGCAGTACAATCAGAGCCCGTCAGCTGCAATTAAGTCAGTAACACTGCTTGCTCATGTGGGTAAAACATAAGCACTGGCGAAGGGCTCCAGCATGGCTCCGCAATGCAAGCTACTCAGCAGGGAGCGGTGTGAGCAGGATAATCTGTCCTATCATGTGAGCAATCTCTTTTGTGTTTTAATTGGAAATAGTTTAATTTTGTTTCTTCCAGGTTGCACCTTGGTTGAAGAGCATTCTTGTGGACTCACCCATTTACCTTTCCTGGAGGCTACTCTCAGTTAGAGAGTCTGAAGCCCCACTGTAGTTTGCAAGACAGAATTATCTGTCTTGCAGATAATAAAGTCTGAAAGACTTTATAGGAGAAGGGGGGAAGGTGATATTCTGTGACTGACTCAGTGTGGGCCACGGGCAAGACACATCATGCCTCTGTATTTGTCTTCGGAAAACGGAAATAAATCCTATTCAAACTTCCACATGGATACAAATGTAACAGTCTCCCAGTCTGATTTCATAGATATTTGGAACACTATGCAAATAGCAAGCAAGTGAACAAAAAGGCCCACAATTATAGCACCCACTTACTTTCTTCAGCTGCATCCCCAGGGTCAACACTCTGTGTAGGGAGCTGCAAGGACCATTCCTTTTCTCTCTCTTTCTCCCTCCCTCTACGCAAAAGCTCCATCTGTTTCATTCGCTTTTGTTGTATTTTCTTCTGAGCTGACTTGGACAAGGTAACATGGATCTAGTTGCAATGGAAATATGTCATGGAGCATAAAGAGAGATACACAAACCAAACGCACCACCTCATCAGGAACACAGTGGTAGAGTGTCATTGTCTTTAATCCAGCTCCATATACATCCCAGTAGTTTCAGAAGAATTCCTCCTTTCCTCACCTTGGCATACAATTACACCCAGTGATGTATAACACTTCATTGCCATAACCTTCCACTGGTCCAAGATACTGTTTCTCAATCTATGTCAGGAAGCCCTGCTTGAACCAAGAGAGTCATAGGAGTGCTCCAAGATGTATGAAGAGCTCACATTACCAGTGAACAGGCAGTTCAGTTCCTACAGGCCAGGTTGGGGGAATAAAAACCATCTCCATGTGACGGTGTGCTCCCCCGCCCAACCTGACCTTTATCTCCTGTAACCCTACCTAAGTGAGAACTACCAGGGGCAGTC